TGGCAAGATGACCGTGAGAAAAAGGAAGTGCTGCCTACCGTAGCGACGATAGTCAACCTTGGACAGAAATGTATATATATATATAACGCACACACACACACGACCCCCTGTCTCGTAGGCCCTGTCTCGTAGGGCCTGCACCCCCCTAAGCATTCAAAACATATATGAAGACCCACCCCCTTTGTGTAGGTACCCTGGGTCCGTCACAGGGTGACTTTTGACCAAATTAGCTCAATGTTCCCAATTTGGCAGACGAGAGAAATCACACCACAAGGTGTCATGAACAATCTGAAGGGGTCAATTACATGATTCCGCAGCCTATCAAAGCCTCCACTGAACCCCCAGCTCAGTAGCAGCGGGGTTGTTCGAGCGCTTATTTGGCCTAGTAGCCATCGCTAGTAGGTTGGAGGCCACCGCTATTAGGTTGGAGCCCTTTCAGTGTTTGGGTTCTTCGAGGCCGATGTCACCGCTCCATGGCCTTCGTCCTTGGAGTTCCTCGCCACGGGCAGCGATGCAGAGTTCTCCGGCTTCGTGACCCCCTTGGCAGAGATGACCAAGTGCCCGGGATCGGAAACGGAGATGAAGAATGTTCGCTACTAGGGTTACTAGGGGCCCCTGGCATCGCTACTAGGAGCAAGGACGCTATGCTTTGTGCCCGGGATCGGACACGGGATTTGGCAAAGTGCCCGGAGAGCCGTTGACAACCGTTGACCCATGTGGTCCATGTCGATGTTGAGCTTGAGCCACTTGACATGACGGATTGACGGATTGGTCTGAAACATTCTGAAACAGCTCAAATGAAGCCAAGAATTCTCATCGCAAGCAGAGAAGGAAAAGCACAGATTGGGAGCACAGGGACTTGGACCTTTGGTAAAGAGTTCAGACAATTCAAGCGCGAATCGAAGCTCGGATTCCCGGTGGTTCGCCCGGAACCTGTTCCAATCCCTTCCAATCTTTGCCCTCACAGATGGATGCACTGCCGGGATGAGGACTAGGGTGACTTGGATTTGGATCAGAGACTCCAATAGTTATTCAATAATAAAAAGGATTTGCAAAGCTGAACTTGAAGTGAGCTGGTGGAATTATACGATGCTGTCAACTCTTGAAGTTGCCGCTAGTTTCGGACGTTTGTCTCCAGACATAGCCATTTCCTCATGTGGCCCTGCTGGTCATCGGCTTGGTGGGTTCTACCAGACAGTTCTCAAGCTGCTGAATGCCGGTCTTCTACAGACTGGAATTGATGCACATTGATGCACCAAGTGCGTGTGAGAACCCTTGGGATGAAAAACGGCGCCAAGATGAGCTCATTGGCTGCAGCCATTTCACTATTATTTTTTTCGCGAGCTGATTTCGGCAACGCTTCTAAGACATCCACCTTTCAACAGCAACTAGAATATGTTTTGAAGGTGTAGAAAACCTATCCATGACCTGAAGTCCTGAAGGTTTCGAAATGCAACACTTTGTGTTGCGGGCAATTTTTTGTTGCCCACGCAATACTTGAACACTGCAACATGGGCTCAGGCTGGGAAGCACGCAGTATCCAAAACAAATTGTCTGGAGACCACTGGGACTGGAAATCTACTTGCGTGTGCTGCCAACATATATCACATATGCCTTTATTTGTTTGTTGAGACTACATGCGTGCTTGATGTTGGCTATGGTAGAAAACTTGTGTTCCACATAGACACACATTAGCTTCACGCTACCAGTGGGTAGTTGCAAGTCTGCGTCTGCACGATCGCTTCAGCAGCAGAGAAGCACGCTTCCTCTGCAAGGCACATCGAATCGCGTTTCCTCATCGTGTCATTCATTGTTTGAGGCCTATGACTTATGCGCAATGATTTTGTTTCACCTGGCGGCGCTGGCTTCAGAGAATTAGAATTTAGAATCACCTATATTAAGCTATGCAGCTATGAGTAGACTGAATAGGTAGAAGTTATGTTGGTTTGGCGAGCAAACATGTCCATTCCTAATAATTCCTACGACTACAGGTCGGGAAGGTCAAGGTCGAGGACAAGGATGTCTACGTATACGATTTGTGGGCAAGAAGGGTTTCCTTTTCACGGGTTCAATAGAAAGGATTTTGAACAAGAAAGGCCTTGTTTAAGGGGTTCAGCCTTTGAGCATGGCACTGGCGGCACTGGCACCGGCCAGTGGATCTCATCGGCGGAACCTAACCCTACCGGATTCGCTGCTTGATTTTTAATCAACAGTTGTTACGCCGAGTTCCTTCACCGGGACTCGACCGTGTTCTGTGTGAAGGTGACGGGTGCATAACGGTGCATAGCAAAGCCAGACTAAAGACTCAAGACTTTGAATTTGTTTGCTTTGTTGAGCGGCGTGTTTTGTTGTTTTGTTTGTTGTATAAGTCAATTCAAGGTTCTGGGCCTTTGCGAAACAGGGCAGTGAATACACAAGGTTATCTTTTGTTGCCAAGAGTTCAGCAGAGAGTCAAAGCCAAAGCACGAAGAAGTACAAGGACAGGGATTGTCGGACCAACAAACTAAACCATCTTTCAGACATGTCGAGTCGAAGTGGATTTTTTTGGGGATGATATTTTAGGTTTGGATGTAATTTTCTTTCCATGCCATGCAGTGTGCCGACAGGAGATTGGGAGATGGGGTTTGGTTCCGCCAGTCAAAAGCCTTGTTGATGGCAAAGGCCGTCGGCATCTTGCCATCATGCCTCCATCTGATACACAAGGTCTTAGGCACAGCATAGCAAGCAAGGCCCAACACCAGCAGAAGCTTATTTTTAGGTGTGTTTCGTGCTTTGGTCTCACTTCTGGAGAACACTATTCACTTTCGCAGTGCGAAGCCGCAGTTGGAGCTTCCTTGAACTTCTTCGAACTCAGGGTTTGTCTTCCGGATTCGCCAGTACCGTGGGAACAATTTCAGGAGCTTCCTGGCATTGTTGTTGCATCAGAGAGTGGCAGCCCCACACAACTCAGCAAGCTCTTGGCACAGTGTTTTGAAGCCGTTCAGTATGTTGTGGAACACCAGCAAGCCGGCTTTCATGCACAAAGCTTGGCAGGTGTCTTGAAGAAGCTTGAGGAAGTAGCGCAGAGTCTGACCTTGCAAACAGTCTTGAGATCTCGCCAAGGACGTTCTGGTGGGTTTGAATACACCCCCCAGCACATGTTGAACGCTGTCTTGTTGACAGACAATTTGAAAGACGTTGGGCAACTCAAGCAGTCAGTCATGCAATCGCTTTGCCTGGTGTTGGAGCCCATGTTGCTTCAGCATCTTCTGCAACAAAACATGAATATCCCTAGCCAAGCATTATTATTCAGGTTTCGCTTGATTTTGGATTTGGCTACAATGCTGTTCTCCCGACGAACATACTTCCAACTATCTTCAGACTGGATTGCTCACATTCGGTCAGACGCCAGTCCATTATTTGGGAAAGAGTTTTTCGTCACAGAGATCGATCATGTGGGTGCAGCAAAGATATCCGAAGAGACTAGCATGGCAGATATGAAAAGCCTGATTTCAAGAAGAATTTTGCCACCCCAACTGGTAGGCTCGAGGGCAGCTTCAACTGCTCACAAGGTCTTTCGCCTTCGCATGTCGCTGGCTTCGGACACGGAAGATGCAAATCAAACCCTTTTGAGAACGTATTCCATAGCAGTAGACATGGGCACAGAAAGCCGCATGTTCGTTTCTCCTGGAGCTGCCCCAATCAGCGTCCAGCCACAGGCTCGTCAGGGTTATCAGGCCGGTCAGCCACTCGACATGGTGTTTCCAGAGAAAGTGCCGGATGCTGACACAGAGAATAATGACTTTCAAGATGTGTCCAGAATGTGTCCGCGGGCCTTACCAATCAGCGACGCCGATCATGTCACATGTCTCAAGTTTCAACTGATCAAGTTTCACTGTATACGATTTGGGATTGGGAAGGGACGTATTTGAGATTATAGGATTATAGGATTGTTCAAGTTCAAGTTCACGTTGCGCCGGTTTCATACTTTTGGCCGCCGCAATGTGTGGCTGCTCAGCTAAGGCAATGCATCACGCAATGCTAGAGTTCGAGAGGTCATTCACCGACTATGCATGGTTCGAGCAAACCTTGAAATCCATGTCAAAGTTCTTTTCCAAATGGGACAGGCTACAGCGCTTTAGAACCACAGCCATCGACAGAAACCCAATGTTCACCCATCAGCCGCGGCTAAAGGATTCTTTTTCTTCTATGTTCAGGACTACATGCCCCACTCTGCAAGAACAAAGGTGGGAGTATATGATTCTTAGATGACTTAGATTAGATGATTAGATGGACTGAGCAAGTTCATTAGCTGGCTGACTTTGCTTTTATGCTTGTGATGTAGTTGGGTTGGGTGGGTCTGGGGGCTTGTCGTTGACAGTGAGGGTCTGGTAACCACCTCTCTAATTAGTGTGACAGCCTGCCGCCCGCCTGCGCCGCACCTAAGGAGAGATGTCTTGAATTGGGATATTCCTCATTGTTTTGCAAAATCCATGGGCAGTCGGCAGTAGTTGGTTTCAATGCAATTCTGGTTTGTTTGTTTGTTTTGTTTTGCTTCAATTGACTATGATTCAATCAGGTAGGTAGAGGCTTACCTACAGTTTTAAGAATATGCAAAAATAGAGAGAGAGAAGGGGCTTTAATTGTACACGGGCTCAGTGAAAGGTGCTATGGGAAGAGGTTTGCGCAGAGAGATCTTGGCGTATGGTACATCACTCACAGTGTTGCAAGGGCTTGAGTCAAGGCACCATCTCATATCCCTCCGACAGTCACGCGGCAGAGCGGCTTCTGTTCCCGCAATTTCCGCCGAGCTGCGCAGAGTACAGAACAAAGACCTGCTTGACTCTCGTTTTGAAAGCATGCTACCAGACCTGCTTGAAAGCCTGCCTCAGCTCACTTCCATGCCTTTTAGTAACAAGACAGACTTGGTTCAGAATGTGATCAGTCAAGTATACAGAGGTGAGAGTGATGAGATGACCATGGAGCAGGAATACTTCCAGCGATATCGTGACCACTTGAAGCGGTCCATGATCAAGACTCCACGTTCCAAGGACTATGACATTCGCTTTGACCATGTCCGCAACCCTTTGCGAAGGTGGGTATTACGCTTTGCCTGCACTGCCTGCCCAAAGAGGCAATCCTGATCATCCTCCTCTGTTCGACGTTTTTCAGCTTCTGGCTTTCTCCCCTGGAAAGCGCACGTATGTGCAAAGGGCTGCAGCTATGTCCGTGGACGTGCCTCTGCTGAGACTGAGACTCAAGCACTGCTTCTGGTTAGTTTTGTGGTGGTAAAGTAAGAGTCTAGAGTCTAGTCTCTCAGGCTATCAGTTGGTCCGTGTTCTCAAGTCTCAAGTTGTTCCGTTCCGCTACCGTTGTTCCATGATCATGATCCATGATCTTAGGTCTGGAATGATGCTGTTGGAGTTGCTAGCCAAAACTACGGTGGTGGCAAACACGCAAATCCAACTGGAAGGAAGCTTTTGGTGGATGACCTGTTTGAGTCCAACCGGATCAATTCATTGCTACGATTCACAGAGGCAACTCAGCGGCAAGTTTGCCAAGAGGGCTAATATCACATAGACTAACTTTTTTGGGTCACACTGTATTATGGGCTGAGGTGGCTGAGGGAGAGGGTCAAAGTGGTCAAAGGTCAAGGGATAATTACCTATCACCATCCTTTGCCTTTGCACTTCTGATTCTGATTCTCCTTGTCAGGTTTTGACTGACGTGGCGGTTTCTGAGCAGAGCATTATTGAAGCGGCAGAAATGTCAGACATGGCAAACAACATCCCTTTGATGAATTCTGCAATGCGGCTTGCTCATTCTGCCATTGCACATCCCAACAAGCAGTTCTGTCCATCCAGCAACGTGGATCAACAGGCCGCAAGATGGTTGGAATCAGTGGAGCTAGCAGAATCCAATTGTCTTTTGCCGCACGCAGTGACCGCTGTAACTACAATTGGCGAGCCCATGGCTGTTTCAAACGAGGCAACCACGTTTGGAGCACGTCAGAAACTCTTAGACACCGGATGGTTGTTGGCAAAGAGTGGGCGGGATGCTTCTGTTCAAGCCAAGAGGCTCAATCCAATCCAGCGTCTTGCCTACTACTTGCTGGTTAACCAGCACCATGACAAGGTTTTGTATCAGGAAGAAGCGGGCTTCTTCTCTCACAGCCAAACTGTGCACTACTACGAGGTCCTGAAGCTGGCCTTCCAGCACAGCGACGACAATATGGATCCCCGCAGTGTTGCCTAGCAACTGTTTCCTCACTGGTTTAAAATTTGTTGAAACCTATACATTGCATAGGCATAGTCGAACAGTCG